GTTGTGCATTTTTGCCAGCCACTGCCGGTGTCTAACCAGACAAATTCCGAGATCAGGGTTTGGTGACTGGTGTCTGCCCACATCAGTGGTAATTCTGTCTCGGGGGAAGCTCTGGAAAGACCCGAGAGTGGATGGGCAAGGGGAGAAGGAAGGCTGCCCCTGAAGGTGAGGGTAAAGAACAGGTTTGTTGTTTAGCTGGTAGGTTACCATGCTTGGCATCATACGCATTGCACAGACTTTACTATTGGGGTCTTACAAAGACTTGGTATATAAACATGTATACGTTATAGATGTATACTATTGATTCAGACCTTGACTATTATGTAGTAAAGGAAGTAAAATAGCTGATCTTTCTTGATATATCTGGCTAGGTTCTTTCAAGCATTTAAATGGAAACAGTGCCAGCCTTTCCTGATTGTTTACAGATTTCAGCTTACAAGCTCCAATTAAAATATCCAGACCGGATCAGAGGGATTATATGAATTTGCGTTTACTCCTAGTTTTTTTCAGTAGTATTGATAAAGTTCTTACAAGTTTAAAGAGAAGAATATAGCTGTATGACAGAAATCTGCTGTTGATTAAAGTTTACAATAATGACACTGCAGTGTGTAACATTATGTAACATAGCTGGTTTTCATAGTCATTAGGCCTATAAGTTTACCTGTGACATCATTATTATTAATAATTAATTACGTCTTTACATAGTATTTCATATAGTCAAGGTATTAGGGGAGTAGGACAGTGGAATTAAAAAAACAGGAAGTATACCTAGGGTATTGACTCTAGCAACTATTTTCACTGCATTCTTTAGCATTGTTTATTTCAACTATTATTACTATCATTACAAAAAGTTTTAGATTTTGAAGACTGATGTCCTGGTTTAAGCTCAGTTGTCAATCAGCCATGCAGTCCTCACTCACTCCCCCACTTTCCTCCCCCGGCTCCCAGAGGGATGGGCTGGAGAATCAAAAGAATGTAACTCTCACGGGTTGAGATAAGAACAGCCCAGTAACTAAGGTATAACATAAAACCACTACTGCTACCAATAATAATAATGATAAAGGAAATAACAATGGAAGAGAGTACAATACCACCTGCCGACCGATACCCAGCCCGACTGAGCAGTGAACTAGCCCTTCCGGATAACTCTCAGTTTACCTCCTGGGCATGACGTGCTGTGGTATGGAATACCTCTCTGGCTAGTTTGGGTCAGGTGTCCTGTCTCTGCTTCCTCTCAGCTTCCCCTCCTCCCTGGCAGAGCATGAGACTCAGAAAGTCCTTGGTCAGACTAAACATTTGAGCAGTAACTAAAAACAGTTGTTTTATCAGCACTGTTCCCAGGCTGAAAGTCAAAACCACAGTGCTGCACCAGCTACTAAGAAGGAGAAAAAAATGACTGCTACTGCTGAACCCAGGACAACTGAAAAAGAGGGAAGTATTTTGCTTCACTGTTTCGTTTTGAAGGGTTTTCAGTCTTCAAAAGGGTAGAAGCTGGTCTCTTCTGAGATAAAACCACTAGATGGCATTCCAGAAGAGAAGTTCGGTAAAGTTAACATGCACAGTTTTCACATGAGAAATATTAAAGGATTACAAACTTGGAATGAGGGCAAACAATGTCTGGTGAGAAATGAAGGTGAGTGGATGTAGGTATAAGTATTGAGCTGATGCGGGAAGAAGCAAAATAAAAAATAAAATAGTCCAAACTCTAGTATGAGTGGTGCTGGCATGCAGTACTTGAGGGGGGTGGAAAAATAAGTTGCCAGAAGTGGTGACAATTGTTGGACCTCTTTCATAACTGAGACATTAGCTGAACTCTCTCCTTGTGCGGTTATTTTCTCCGATTCTAAAGCTGTATTTGTTGCATGACTTCCAGTAGCTCTCCAGGAAGCTCATGAATTTGTTGCAAGGGAAAGGAACTATTTTTCTTTTCCTGTTGCTGCTGAAATTTGTCTTTTAAAAATCTGGTCTGAGTTTCACTGATCAAAAGTGTACTTGCACCTTCTCCCTTTCACAAATGTACAAGTATGTCCTCAATATAAGCCCTAACAGAAGTTATTCACTACCTTGAGGGGATTTTTTTTTTTTCCCCAGGGCTTATTTCCTAATGTATATTTTCAGTGATTTTTCTGACGTATGAGTGTTTGTTTCACATGACTCAAAATAAGATCATTCTCTAAATCTTTCTATCCAAAACACTGGATTAGCCTTCACAAATGCTTTAATTTAGGAATCAGTTAACTGGAATCTTAAAAAGCTTCTACTGAAGCCTACTCCAGGAATCATTAATAAGGATTTTTCAGCTTTGTGCTTTTTAGCATTTTCTGCATTTTTCATTATTATCATCATTGGTTAATTATGGTTTCATTATCATAAATTAATCATCTATGCTACATAAGATTACTAAATTAATTAGTATTATATTGTAGCATTAACTTTAGTTAGTGAGAAGAAAGGGAGGATTGCAGTTCTGAGATGGAATGGTATGTGCCTTCTGTGCAGTGTTGTATAGTTCACGTCATGCTTGTTCCTGGCTGATTTAAAAATACATCTTTGCTAAGAAGAGAAACAATTTTTACCTTGCTGTTAACTCTGTAACTATATATCCATTATTTCAGTCTACAGCATAATGTAGCAACAAAACAGTACGCATATTTTACAGGCAAGGGAATCTATATTAGGAGTACTGTGTTGCAGATAATTTCAGATAAATGTGCTAGAAGGGTCTAATTTGGAGACTAACAGTTTTGCTTATTTTTCTCCTTTAACTATTTTGAAAATACATGATGATGCAAAAGAGTTTTATCTTTCTCTATGTAGTATGGTAAGTTAATCACTGCAAGCTTTAGAGTTAACAAACTTTAGATCTTTAAAATGCTTTGAGATCATCTGATGGGAGTCATTGTGTGAATGAACATCCCTCTCTCTGCAAGGATGGGGCCAAAGGAGACAGAGCCTGTTAAACCAGGAAAACAGCTTTCGGATTGCCAGGCAGCAGTAATACCAAGTGTTTTCTTATTCCCACCTGTGCTCTGTGCTGTTTCCCCTGTTCCAAGTGGCTGAACAGGACATCATTTTAGTCTTCAACATAATTTCTGGCTGTGTTCAGTGGGAGATGAGTGAAAGCTGCTTTTTTTTTTTTTTTTAATTTATAGCTTATATGCCATTTCATAAAAAAACCTGAGAAATTATCTTGCAAACTGAAAAGGAGGTTGAATGACCAAATTGACTATGCAGTAGTGAGTGCTGGTCCTGTTCTACCTTAAGTTCAGTCCAGGTTTTAGAAAAAAGATCATTAACAGTAGTAATGGGAAATTTCTGTTCATTTTGATGGGAAGCAGGCCCTTGTTCAAATGCCTGTGTCTGAGAAACATGGAAACATTATGGCACACAATTACAGTGCCTGCTGAAATACATTTTTTTACAGGATTCTCCCACAGTTGTGACACAGAACTGTGTATTTCACCTCTAAAGTGGTTCTGTGAAGTGAGTCTAGTCACAGTTTTCCTGCACTGTGCTGAAGTACTTGCAGGTGTTGTCTCAGAAATCACCCATCAAACACTGGGAAATTCAGTTTCACAGGGTTTTAATTCTGGCGTTTCTTCATTTCCACTCAGCAGCCTCAGCCCTCACACCAGAATCGCAGACCTTCCAGGGCAAACAGGCTGGCTGGCTGGCTGCCACAGGGTCTGGGAATGATGGACTGTAGAGCAAGCGTTATCAAGATCCAAACACCCCAACCTTTCATAATAGTCAGGGAGCAGTTAGGGGTATTAGCATAATTTCTGCTACTATCCACAGTGTGAACTGAGAGGGAAAATAGTGGTTTTGTGCATTTATGCTACTATCAGCTGGTAAGAGTTCATGGTCACCAACACCGTGTGGACCGAGGCACAGTCACTGACCTACGGTACGGGAGCATGCACAGTCACTGCAGGTACTCTGTGCTGCCGTGCTTCTGCCAACTGCCGGAGTCACACAGAGCTAGGGACCCCTCTCGGCCTGTGTCTTCATTCCGCTTCCTTTTTCACCTCTTCCGGGCCTTTCTCGTCCCCTGGGCCGTGCCCAGCAGCGCGCTGGCCGCGCGCTGGCCACCCACAGCTGCGGCTCGGCGGGGACCAGGCACCCACCGACCCCAGTGCGCATGCTCACGTCCACCGCCGTGCGCAGCGCCCTCCACCTTCGCTCCCGGTTGCTATGGCTACCGCGACGCTCCGCCCGGAGAAGCGGCCGCTGCGGGGGGAAGTAACGGGTGCGGGACCGGGCGGGGGACGCGGGCCGGGCCGGGCGGGGGAGCCGCTGCACAGCCACGGGCTGGGGTCCGGGACGGGCGCGCAGCATGCCGGGAGGGCCGGCCCGGCCTATCGGTAGTGTTTGCGCACCGCCCGGCGCCGCGTGACGGGGCCCGGTGGCACAACCAGGCGGGCGGTAGGTAGGAATGGCCCGAGATACCGGCGCTTGGGTGGGGATCACTGCTCTTCGCTGCTGCTGCAGCTGCTGCCCGTGTTTTTCAGGAGTGTGGGGTTCGGGTTCTTCCAGCCCGTGTCATTGCAGTGGCAGCGCAGAAAACATTAAAGGTGTGCTGTCGCTGGGTAATGCTGAGTCTTGGGGTCTGTATATCATAGAATGATTTGGATTGGAAGGGACCTTAAAGATCATCTAGTTCCAATCCCCCTGCCCTGGATAGGGACACCTCTCGCTAGACCTGCTTCTCAAAGCCCCATCCAACCTGGCCAATTATGCTGACTGCTTGCTCTGCAGTATTATGTTTGTTAAACACCAGTGAGAAGATGAAAAATGTTTTTGAGGTTGGCTATTCTAAACAGACTATTAGGGAATAGATACAGAAAAAGCTTTTGACACTACACCACCCATATGTTTGGTAGTAGAGCTGTGCTAGTATGTGGTTTTAAATAGATGCTGTGATTATTCTTGCAGAAAGGTTGAAAGCGTGCAACTGATATTTCAGGAAAAGGTACAGTGGATAGTTGTGATACGCTCTGAAGTTGTTACAGCACAAGGGCCTAGTGCAGAGCTACCATCTACATTCCCACCAAGAAGAGCAGTTGGAGAGGGCAAGAGTGCAGACGAAGCAGAGAAGCGTCTGCTTTCAGAAGCTACAGGCACCACACAGAGAAGGGCTGTGAGAAGCAGTCTTCTCTGGAGCAGTCAGTTTTGAAGGAACAGGAGCAGTCAAGTTCATCACAGTGGGAACAACCTGGAGAAGGGCTAAGCAATCAAGAAACAATTGGAAATAAGCAGCAAGATTTGAGCCAGGTGCCCCATTCAACACATCATCTGAGAATACATCATCTGTTACCAATGAGAATTACCCTACTTTAACTGAAGTAAGAAATTCAGAAAGGGAAGAACAAACATCTCAAAACTCAGTATCAGAGAATATGGCAAGTGGGACAGGTAAAGAAGTTATAAAATGTTGGATGTTAAGGCTTTAAAGAGATTTGTTTTTTTCTTCAACTTGATGATGGCTTCTTGCATCTCCCAGACTCTCATTCTGTTCATGTTTGCTGGTTTTTGAACTTGAAGTGACTTTTTAAATTCTCAGGCAAAACACACTTGAAAAGGTGAGAAATGCATTCTTCATCTCAAGTTGCAGTAGAAACTCATATGACATTTTATAGTGATCTGCATTTCCAGAAATGTGTGTAAGTGCGTGTGTTTTGTACACACGTTTGCAAAACAGCAATGTGTAATTCACTTGAATACATGGGCTACTAACAGTTTAGATCAGATCGCAGCAAACACCTTACTATTTTAGCTCTCTTGGATTCCCTTGTCACTTGCCTGCCACAGTTCCGTTATCAATGCAGTCCTTGAAACACTCCATCATGTGCTGCACTTTTTCCTCTGGACTCTGGGTGTCCAGTGTTACTTCCTAATTCAGTGCCCTGTTTTCTTAGGTCTTTAGAGCAGAAGGTAGAACATCCCATTCAGCAGGTGAATGCAGTGAGTGACCGTTTGGAATATGGACCTGCTGACTGCTGTCCTCTTGGCAGGGCTGCATTCAGATCCTCTTGTTCAGAGTAGCTGGTGACCATGTCCTAGGAAAAGCACTGTACCAAAGCCAGATACCTCTAACTCAAGAAATAATTTCTGGAGTTAAGTAGATCTGGTTCAGAATATAGTCTTTGAGTAAACACCACAACGTTAAGTATTGTGTGAAAGACAACAGTGATTCTAAGCATGCAACATATGCTTAGATGAGGTCTAAAGTGGAGGAGGTTTAAGTGAGATTTTTCAGTAAAATTTCTCTGTGTAAATGGGTAACTAAGATTGCGCATTTACTGTAACTTGTAAAAAATTGAAATATGAATGACTTTCACTGATGACAGTATTTAGGGATCTCTTTAGAAAGTATGTGATAATATTGTTTCGGATTTCAAGCAGACTGTCATTCCAGCTCAAAAATCTGATATTATTCTGTGTTGCAGTGTTTCGATAAAATCACCTCAGAGTAAACTTGAGAAAGTTACTCGTTTGTTTTGCAAAGCTTACCCAGAATTAATTTTGGCTTTATTTTTAGGAACCATGATTGGAGATAATGAAAATCCTGGGAGGACCAGGGCTAACATTGATGAAACTATCCAGTCTGAGAAGTTATGTCTAGATCAGGAACATTCTCCTGGGAAAGCAGTTCAACAGGATTACTGCATGCCTGATGTCGTAACTGTCAGAATACAGACAGGTAAATGCTGGGTTTGCACATGTGTAGAGATATAGAGACCAGACTTTGGCCTTAGTAAGGTTCTATGGGATATAGCCCTAGAGGTCAGGGGGGCCCAAGACTGTTGGTTGATATTCAAGGATCACCTGCTACAAGCTCACGAGTGTTGAATCCCAAGTAGAAGGAAGTGCAGCAGGAGGGCCAGGAGACCGCTTTGAATGGGTAAGGAGCTGCTGAGGAAAATTCAAATGAAAAAAGAGGCTTTTAAAAAGTGGAAGCAAGGACAGGTGGCCTGGGAAGAGTACAGGGATGCTGTTTGGGAAGCTAGGGACCAGGTTAGAAAAACTAAGGCCCAGTTAGAATTAAACTTGGCAGAGGATAACAGGAAGGGATTCTGTAGGTATGTAGAGAATAAAAGACAGACTAGGGACAACGCAGGGCCCTGCGGAAGCTCTCAGGAGAAATGGCTGCCCTGGATTTGGAGAAGGCTGAGGTTCTGAATGACTTCTTTGCCTCAGTCTTCACTGGCAAAGGCTCTGACCGCACCACCCAAGTCTTGGAAGGTAGATGCAGGGACTGTGAGAATGAAGACCTTGCACCCACTGTAGGGGAGGATCTGGTTCGAGACCATCTTAAAAATCTGAATATACACAAATCCATGGGTCCTGATGAGATCCATCCACAGGTCCTGAAGGAGCTGGCAAATGAAGTTGCTAAGCCACTGGCCATCATATTTGAAAAATCATGGCAGTCAAGTGAAGTTCCCTACGACTGGAAAAAGGGAAATATAACCCCCATTTTCAAGAAGGGGAAAATGGGTGACCCAGAGAATTACAGACCACTCAGTCTCATCTCTGTGCCTGTCAAAATCTTGGAGCAGATTATCCTGGAAGGCATGCTAAGGCACATGAAAATCAACAAGGTGCTTGGTGACAGCCAGCATGGCTTGACTAAGGGGAAATCCTGCCTGACCAATTTGGTGGCCTTCTATGATGGGGCTACAGAACTGATGGACAGGGGTAGAGCAGTTGATGTCATCGACCTGGACTTGTGCAAAGCGTTCAACACTGTCCCACACGACATCCTTGTCTCTAAATTGGAGAGACATCAATTTGATGCATGGACCACTTGGTGGATAAAGAACTGGCTGTAGTTATAACTCTGGCCACACACAGAGTGTTATGGTCAATGGCTCAATGTCCTGCTGGAGACCAGTAATGAGTGGTGTCCCTCAGGGATCTTTGTTGGGACCGGTCTTGTTCAACATCTTTGTTGGTGACATGGACAGTGGGATTGAGTGTGCCCTCAGCAAGTTTGCCAGTGACACCAAGCTGTGTGGTTCGGTTGATATGCTGGAGGGAAGGAATGCCATCCAGAGAGACTGACACTCTTGTGAGGTGGGGGGTGGGCTGATGCCAACGTCATGAAGTTTAACCATGAGAAGTGCAAGGTCCTCCACCTGTGTCGGAGCAATCCCAGGCACAGCTACAGGTTGGGTGGAGAAGAGATTCAGAGCAGCCCTGTGGAGGAGGACTTGGGGTTGTTGGGTCAATGAGAAAATGAACATGAGTTGGCTTCAGTGTGCACTCACAGCCCAGAAAGCCAGCCATATCCTGGGCTGCATCAAAAGGAGCAGCAAAAGGTGATCCTGCCCCTCTGCTCTTGTGAGACCTCACTTGGAGTACTGTGTGCAGTTCTGGTGTCCTCAAGATAAAAAGGACATGGAACTGTTGGAACAAGTCCAGAGAAGGGCCACGAGGATGATCAGGGGACTGGAGCACCTCCCGTATGAAGACAGGCTGAGGAAGTTGGGGCTGTTCAGCCTGGAGAAGAAAAGGCTGCATGGAGACCTCAATAGCAGCCTTCCAGTATCTGAAGGGGGCCTATAGGGATGCTGGGGAGGGACTATTCATTAGGGACTGTAGTGATAGGACAAGGTGTAACGGATTAAACAGGGGAAGTTTAGATTGGATATAAGTAAGAAGTTCTTTACTGTAAGGGTGGTGAGGCACTGGAATGGGTTGCCCAGGGAGGTTGTGAATGCTCTATCCCTGGCAGTGTTCAAGACCAGGTTGGACAGTCTTGAGTGAGATGGTTTAGTGTGAGGTGTCCCTGCCCATGGCAGGGGGTTGGAACTAGATGATCTTAAGGTCCTTTCCAACCCTAACTATTCTATGATTCTATGTGTTGTTACATGTAATTGTGCTCTAATCTCAGTATTTCAATCTTGGAACTTCCTTTTTAACAGATTCTGATTCATTCCAAGATGTAGTTGTAAAAATTGAAAGACCTACCTATCAAAAACCATTTCTGGGTGGATTTAAGAACAGGATAACAGGAGTGGAATTTCATAATGCAGGATCACAAACAATACCAAAAAAACTACCTGATAAAGGAATTCTTGTATTCCATAGGGAAACACAGGTAACAGCTTTGTAGTGTCTTTTTAGAATGTTGGTTTTGCCAAATGGGATAGAATGTTGACACAATAATTTCCAATGGGAATAAGGGAATAGATGAGGAATAAGTGTGCAATTGAAAGTATTTAGTGGATGAATATCACTGGTCTTGTGATTTTTGTTACAGGTAGCTAATTTTGCCACTTTCTGTAATGAGGAAAAAAACCCTCTATGTTTTGTTATATTCTGACATGTATTTTTTTTCCTCAGACAGTTTTTGAAAAAAATAAGCAACAACAAACAACGAATACAACATCAACACAAATGACTAAAACTGGCTTGTATGTGTCAAACAAGACTGACAAACTAATAACTCCTGGGAAGTATATTACAGCAGAAGAATACCATAAACGTAGACTTGAAGCAGTAAGTTCATATTTGTTTGAAACTATCTGTAAAGCAAAATATTACAAAGGCCATCTGAATATTTAATGAGTGTTCAAAGAGTGAATTTAAAAGTGAACTGCAAAGTGTTGCTTAATCTTCACATTTTGTAGTACTCAGATATGGGGAAAGCGTATCTTTGCTCTGTGGTTTTTGTGACATTTGGTTTTTAGTTATTAATTTGATTGCCTAATACTGGCAGTCTGAATCTAACTAAATGGAGAGGTAGTTGATTCACTGAGTGTTGAAGTAGGATGATTGTATTGATAGGGTTGGCAAGATACTTTGAAGACTTCTGGTAGAATTTTTCTCTAAGAACTTCTTAGTTGGTCAGCATCAACTAGCAGCGGGAAGTATCTTGTAGAAGTGGAAAACCCAAATAGGTTATTGTTTCCTCAGGACTACCAATATGTTTGCTGTGATCATTACTGGATTATGTAGTGTGTCTGTAGGTAATATATAGCACACAGTAGAAAGACATCAGCTTGGTGTTGGTTCATGTTGATGGAACTGAACCGTGCAGTGTAGGTCCGTATTGAAATACTAGCTGGAGACACATTCGAGAGAAATATTAGAATAAGATATCTCTAGAGACAGTATAACTATTAGTGTGGTTATTTGTTTGATAGCCTTCAATGCTGCATTATGCTTATTAGCTCATGGTATTGGCCTGCTTGTGTGGTCCAAGCTAACGCCGATGGCAGAAGGTTGGGTTTGTGCATTATCCTCCCTTAGCATACTATAGGCAGTTCCCTAGTCTTTAATAGCTCCCTCTTTGGAGGGTTTATTTTTTAAGTTTGGTCACAACATTGTATACTTCATTTTTCTTATTTGTAAATAAAATGCAATTGATTTTGTGTGTATGTACCTTTCAGTTAGTTTGAGTACAAGGTAAATCTTAGAAAATACAGTCAAGTGACTGAAAAAAATAACAGTTAAGAACAAAATATCATGCTGTTTTGTTTTAAATTCATGATTCTTTGGTATTGTATCACACATAGGTAATAGTATTACAGAGAGATTTCCGTCGTTGGCATGCTACAAATATAGTACAAAAACTGGGGGAAGAAAAGAGGTTAAGGCTGGAGTGGGAGGCACAAGAAGAAATACGGAGAAAAAAAGAAAAAGAAGAAAAACTGAGAAGGGAGCACAAGCGAAGACTGAACCCTAAAACAAAAGGAGACTTCGAGCTACTGTACCATGCTTTAGAATGTAAGTTTTTTCTTGAAGGGTTACTCTTATATCAGCAAAATACAGTTTGTTTAAAACAGACTTATATTTTTATGTGTTTCTAGAGATACTTCCTTGATTTTTAGATTTTACTTACATTGGAATTTCATTTTTACGTAACTATTTGACATTCATGTATTATCAGAAGCAGAAAAAAAGGCCTTGATGTTATGTAAGCATTGTTCAACAGTAACTAAAACATCCCTATATTATCAACGTCCAAAACATAGCACCATACAAGCTACTATGAAGAAAACTGACTATGTCCTAGCCAAAATCAGTACATCTTTTTAGGAAATAATCAGTTTATAGAATAGTGCTATTCAGCATTTCTATTATTGTTTTTTTTTTATTATTCATCTCTAATGTTAAGGTCATCTAGAGGAACAGGAACCTTTTTTTTTTTTTGGATCAGGGTTATGTTAACCTTTCTACTCTACATTTAAGATGCTGAAAATAATGGCATGAAGAAATACAGTATTGAGATCCATCATCTGTCATTTAATAAAGGCAGTTTTTATAATGGATTAAATTTTTGCCCATAGTATTGCAGCATATGACTGAGGTTATTCCTTTTGCCCTAGTCATCTTCTACAGATGCTTTTTCTCCTTTCTAATTTATTCCATGTTGCACAAAACTGTGTTGTCAAAATTTTAAAAATCTGTTAGGAGTCCTACAGGGCATCCTGAAGGATGTCCTTTTCCTGTTGGGGTGGATGGTGTCTAGTACAGGCAAGCACCTCTAAACTTTCCTGGAAAAATAAGGTGAATAACAATAATATGCAGACAATAGACATAAAGCCTTACAGGACAGTAATGTTGCAAAATGGAACAAAAACCTTGTCTTTTGGGGAAAAATAAAAACAATAGAAATCGGTGGACTTGTAGCAGCATATAGTGAAACTGCAAGAGTTCTTTTAAAAATGTCTCCTTTTAAGCAAGATGCTTGCATTGTGAAGTAGCTCGTATATTATCTAGGCTACAGTGCTTCCTTATGGTATAACTCTGTGGCAGTTTGGACATTTTTGTTCCTATAGCAGAACTGACCTAATGGATTGCCTGATTCACTGCAAAGCCATCTGACCTACCTGAAATAATCTCAGCTGTTTCTTCCATGGTGAACTGAGCATAAATTTGGTGGCATTTGTTATTCATAGAGCTTAGGGTCATGATTCAAGAACTCCCAAGTTACACATTACTCTTTTAATACTGTCATGCTTGGGTCACTGAAAAAATCACTTGGTCTGATGTAGAAATGACTTGTAAATATTAGTGTTTGTGACAAATGTAAAATTGTTACTGATCTTAAACTTTAGAATTTTGGGAATGGTATCTCTATGAGACTTGGGGATAGGGGTTGTTTTCCCTTTTTCTTCACAGATAGTTAGCTTTTCGCTTCACAAGACTCAGTCTCTTTTAAGGTGTGTCTGATTAGGTAATCAAAAGCCAAGGAACTCAAATAGTTTTTTACTCTCCATTTGTGGCAAGTGCTAGTATTTGGTGTCCAATTTCCTGCAGTATTTTCTTTAATATATTGTTAAATGTATGATCCACCTTTTTTTTTTATTAAGTGCAAAGAGTCTTATTTGTAATGGAAACAACAGAGCTGAGTTAGAGTTGCAGATTAGTGCTGGTGTTCCCACTATGTTTAGATTTAGAATTTATGGTTATGTAAATGTCTCTTTTGCTTAATTTGATGTAACCAGATTCACAAATAGGAAACCTTTCAGCTATGCATGTTCAGGAATTTAATATCAGGGCAACCTGAAAAAGCGTGTGCCACTCTAGAGCTGGAACAGAACAAACTCCAGTATTTGAAATGTCTTTTTAACATTTTATTAAAAATAATGGTGTAGTGTTAGTCTTTCCTGGTTTTGTTTACCTTTGTTGACTAGTTGCTTCTGTACATGGAGACTTGCAGTCATGACATTTATTTTAATAGAGTTTTGTGGTTCTAGGAAGGTTTTTTTCCTACCTGCATCTGAAACTACTTTTACATTCTTACAGTGTCAACAGTGTACACAAGCTAAATCATTGTGACAGTAATAGAATGACACCATTGTCCTCCAGAGACCTGTGAAGGTTATTGCTGCTGATCTCAACAGGGAGATACTATTACAGGGTCAGCCAGCGCAAGCAGTTCTTGTTGGTACAAAAACTTGCCTGCTGACAGTGTGGTGCAAATGAGATGTATCTGTAAGTGTGTCGGCGTGTAGAGACATTAATTATTTATTTGAAAAGTATGAACTACTTTGTTCTGTAAAAATGAAAAAAAAAAAGTAATGAATATAATCTCTGCCTACAGAACAGATAATCTAAGAGGAATGTTTTTAATTTGGTTGCATATATATGGTGCGTCAGGAGGTGAGTATTGATGATAACTGACAGCTTTTTCATTTCTGTACGCACAAAATTGCTTACTGTATTTATTACCTCTACCTTTGATGTTGCTGCCCCCTGCAGGCATATAAAACTTAATGTAAATTAATTCTGAAGTGCTTTTGTTTGCTGAAATTACTTTATTTAAAAATATAGCTTTGGGTACTCAGGACTTGTCAGACAACTGTTATATTAATACCAATGCTTAGAGAGCCTTAAGGAAATGAATTGTAACATTTTAAAATGGAAAACATAAGGTATTGTAGATAAGGAAGCCACAGGCAGAAGCTAAACCTTCCTCCTTTCCCTTCTGCATCTACTCTTACCTGATACAGTAAGTGTGCATCACGTATTGGATTGTTTTCTTTAATGCTGGGATTTTCAAGATTTCAGGAATGTTGAATTTTTTTATCTTATAAAATTTCCTACAGACCTCTAGAGGTATTTGAAACGGAACAAATTCGTCAGAGAAGTCAACAACTGTTACAGTGTATGCACAGGAAAGCACTATTCAGGAAACACAATTTGATTTTACTAACAGATTTCTGTAACGGTGTTCTGCGTGTCAGTAGTTATAGTCAAGAAATAGGTACTACAAAATAAACCGTGATAGACACATATGTATACATTTGTATGTTTGTGTCATTAAGTAGCCTAGCTTGTAAGTGCAGCTGGTACCTGTGATTTGGTGATTTGACTGTAAGAGTCAGAAGGCCAGATTCTACACAGCAGGTTCAAGTGCTGCTGTAATGACCATCCTGTGGTTTGCATGCTACTTCCTTCCACCTTCTGTTCTGTAGAACAGGAAAGGGGGAGTGAAGCAAATACTATCTAATTATTAATGCGCTTCCATCTGCTTTAGATGGCAAAAGGTGATACTACTGGAATATTCACTGGAATATTTAGACCTGGAGTGCTAAATGTGAATGTCAGTCATGTTTTATCTCCGTTTTGGAAGAGTTCAGCCTTCTTTAGATTTTACTCATTTATGCAGAGCAAAGGAGGAATAGTGGTGAAAGCAGTAGACAGTAAGATGCTGAACTTAATCTGCTGAGAAGATCTCTATGGTTATCTTTTCTTGTGACTTTGATGAGCAATTGTTTAAGAAGTCCCTATTGCTCATACCTTTTCCATACATGTTTCCACAGGAGCTAAATTATTTTTCTCACACAGAGCAGCTTTTTCTCCTAACCTGTTTTCGAGTTTGCAGTATGAATTGGCAGTTTGGAATTGATGTACACACACATACTCTCACAGAACATCTGTATAATTTACATTAATTTCTGGGCTATTCTATGTGTGTTGAAAGTATGCATTATAATCAATTCCCTAAGAGAGAAACTGGCTTTTAATGAACATCAAAAATTATGTTATTTCTTAAATATGAAAGCAGAACATTCACTGGAAAATACATTGTAAAAAGTACCCACAATATTTATGTCTGTAGTATGGAGGCGGGAGGAGACTGAGCAGATTAACAGAACTCTTACTGGAGCTGAAAGAAAGGCAGCACTTTGTGGACTTCTGGAACAAGAGGCACAGCTGATTGCTTCCATTGGGAGACACAAACTAAATGCAGATGAGGAGAATCGACAAAAAGCGATACTGCACTTTCTGAATAAGGTCAGTGATGTAATTTTAGATTGAACATAAAAAATAACAAAGTACAGGAACAGAAAAGACATCTGCAAACTACCTGCCAAAAGTGAATTTTGTAGCTTAACAGTTAATTGTGTGAATGCTGATGTTATAAATATCCAAATTACTAGTTGTTCAAGTCAATACAATTCAGTAAATTTCTTTTTCCAAGCTGAGAATTTCCTAGCTCTGTGACTGATTGAAGGACTAATAGTGCATCATTAAGACTGTTAACTACTTGTGTCTAATACAAATCTCGGGTGTGTATATATAACATTAAAAAATAGCACTGAGTGAATGAACTTTGTATTATAGAATCATAGACTCATTATGTAGTATTCTGCATAAAGAACATGCTTCAGATGGCAGTGTTTACAGCATTAAAGGCTCTAATTCTAACAGTTCAGAGTGATCAATTTCCCTGTTGAGCCCAGGCCTCTAGTCATCATTATGTCTCTTTTTAAAGAAAGCATTTATTCTCTTTCCATGTACAGGATAGAAAACCAAAAGAACTTTGACTGAATCTTATATCATATTGAACTCGATTATTAATTCACTAGTTTCAGATCCATTAGAACTTTAGCTTGAGGTCTTTTCTTGCATGATCTTAAGGAAGAAATTTAACACAAGTGTTCTTCAGGCTTTCGTCTATAAAACAAGGAAGAGCATTTATACACAAACATGATTTAGGCCTTTTTTAGGTAAATAACCCAGCAATCCATCCCCTAAAAAAAAAAAATAAATAGTTTATTTTCTGGCTCTTTTCATATTATGTGATGAAGAATGGGATTGATTAAGAATAGGGTTGATTGAAGAATGGGTTTGTAAATAAGTAACTTCAAGGATCTTAGGCTTTGTTAGCAACTATAGAGGTAAGGAAATGGCTAGCATAAGCATTGCACAAGAACTGGCCTGGTGGTTACTGACATGACAATGATCCAAAAATGAAGCGATGAAGAGGAAGATGATGAAGAAATAACTACCAGGGGTCCCAAAGCCCATTGCCACCTTTTAGTGTGCATGCAGGAGGAATTCTAGAAGTATGATGTAATATATAAGTAACTCAATGAATATGTATCTAATCTAATGAATATATACGTTTAAGGACAATATAATCACAGCAAGTTGATGCTCGGACCAGACACGTGTCTCCCGGTGCTGCAATAAAGAATACCTGCTTGTCAACTTAAACTTTGTTGGCGAGATCTTGGAGATTTCTCCAAATCAGTGATATAATTATGAAAAGAAATACTGCAACAGAAATATTTTTTTTTTAGGTTTGCTTTTTGTTGTTTTTTTTTGTTTGTTTGTTTTTTGTTTTTTGCTTTTTTTTAATTTTGACCATTTAGTGCTCAAAAGTAAAATGGGAATTTTATCTAAAAAAACCCACCCTGTTTTTCATTCTTTTTATTACTGATGTGTGGGATCTGGACTGTAAAAAGTGTTTTAATGAAAGTACGAAACTAAATATTTAGGAATCAAAAAGGAATATTTAGGATATCAAAACCTTGAATGATTTCTATTATTCAATAGAATAGATGTTAATAACTAAACGTTTGCTTCTGCTATTTGCAATATATTCTGTTACATTCTCAGAAAAAAAATGAATATATTTCTCTCTTAAATGAGTTTCTACCTTTATTTTTCCATTAAGGACTGCTTTCCAGTGTCCTACCCTGTACAGGTTACTGCCAATATATATCCTCAGAGGCTTTTTTACATCGAGGAAACAGAAGCAAAATGCTCTTCAGTACCAGAATCCTTAGTGACAATTGATGTTTAGAGATCCTGGAGACACAACAGACAAGAGATTTTCTCTCTTTCCAAGTAGTGGACATGTTTCTGAAGCACTTGCTGCTAGTTTTGTTTTTTCATTGAAGAAATTGCTTTCTTTTTAATTTGAAAATCTCATGAGTTCTGAACTACTGAAACTTTTTTCTTTTCATGGTTTTTATTTTTTTTATGTCAGCTATAGGGCTTTAAGTGTTCTGAACTGTTGACATAGATAGCAGCCTAATTCAGAGGTAGAGAAAGTAATTTCTGCATTTCTTAAAAAATAAGTAAAAAGAATTTTTGAAATCTCAATATTAAATTTATGGCTTGTTAGGGCTGTAGCAGTGCAATTTAGACACTTCAAACTGTAGTATAAATTCATTGTTGAAGTGCTGGGTTATAGATTATTCACTGATTTCTTGACCTTTGAGCTGATAATGTTAATCTGGACACTTGCCAGTTAAAGTAATACCTTTCACATCTGAAGACTGCAAGCATTTCACTTTGCTGCAATATCCAATGTGATATGAAACTTGCTTCTCCGTGGAAACCTTCATTCGCTTCTTTGCTACTTTAAGCATGTACCTACTTCTCCTTTTACAATGGTTGCTACTGGTTGTGTGTGTACTGCATTCTAGTTTGTTTGGGTTTGCTTTTTGCTGTGCTCATGCTTCTTCAGCATTTGTACTTTGAAGAGGAAGTACTTGATTAAGCTTCTATTTAGCAATCATTTTCTTAAAGGAACTTGTGTAATTATTAACTGTCACTGAATTCATAACTTTCATGCTTTGTGCTATTTCTCCACCCAACCTATGGATTGGATTTTTATTTTATTTTATTTTTTTTTACTTTTCTTACCCTTTTCTGTGTCTCTGATGGTATGTTTCTCTCCTTCAGTGCTTTTTCTTTTCTGCTTTCATGCATTGCCAGCAGAGTGCAGTTTATAGCAAATTTGCTCTCTCAAGTAGTCCAGATCACAGGATTATTGTAAATTCTGCAGCACTGCCAGCAGACTAAAAGGCAAGAAAAAGCTGGCAAAAAATATCAAAGTTTTAGTTTTCTCACATCAATCTTGAATACATGAAAATAGTCCTAAAATCAGAGCGCCTGGGATTCTTTCTGAAATACTGGAAAACTGCATCTTTTTTTTTTTTTTCAAATTATTTTACTTTATATAATGCCCAGTTACGATGAGGTAGTAGTAAAAACTACAGAAGTTACAGATATTTTATCTTTGACTAATTCAGAGGTTATAGTAATGTAGTTGGACTGTGTTAAGGATCATTTGCAGAGTGGAATACCAAGACTGTTAACTCATATATGGGTTGTTGCAAATTTATCAGGGGAACCAAGTTTTAATAGCCACTTCCTAGGGGAAACTCTGCCCATTGACTCACCTTAGCATAAGCAGGTGACCTTCCTGTCATGTAATTAGTGATTTCATTGAAGAGGATCAAATGTAGGTACTGAACTAATTATTCTAAAGGAAAAGGTAATTTTTGGCAGTCTGCCATATGAAGGAGTTACAGCATGAAATAGCCTCTAAGTGTTGGTGGTTTGGTTTTTTTGTTTGCTCGGTTTGGCTTGGTTTTTTTTTAGAATTGTTAGTTCTGTTCAGAGATAGTGAAACAGTCATAAAGTAGAATGCTCTCTTTTTGCTGACATGGAGGAAATCGCCTCTTTCTGGTTTTGCAGAAGGTCAGAAATGTCAGTTATTCAATGTTAAATCCTTTTTCTTTTCCCCCAATTATTTTGTCTTCCTTTTGCTTGTGTAACTTCATAATTATTTATTTAAAAGTGAAGGAAGCTCTATTTTGATTGTGTTGGTGACTAAACACGTCTAGTCTGCCTAATATTCTTGGCATTTTAATGGCTTATCACCATAGCAAGCATGTATATTTGGTCAAAATAATGAATATGTCAATGCTGGGGTCATATCCAGAAAACTATTAGTCATGTGAATGCTGCAAGAAGTGTTGCTGTAGTTAACTCACACTGAGACTGCAAAGTGAAGTTCGCAAGCTTTTGTGAGTTGTCAAGTTCCAAATAAAGTGAAAGAGAATAATTAATACGCAGAATGAGGTTCCAAAGAACTGTCCCAGTTAAGGAAAGGGAGTGGAATTAGGTTGTGATACGGAGAGGGTTTTGAATACTTGGCTTTCTATTGGATTTAAACATCTACATCCCTGTGTAACATCGTGCTTTGCAACCAAATCTAGTCTTCTTAAAAGGGGTGGATAGTTGGATTCTTCATACTGATTGGGGCAGCTGACACTGTGTAACTTCTGATGTCTATAGAAGTTAAATAATTGGAGTGGTAGTGGTAAGGTATGTGGTTAAGTTAGCAAACAAGAAGCTTGGTGAAGTATTTGATAAGCTGTAACTCCTCCTTTGCTTTAGTCAGCTTTAACAAAGTCTTTGCTAATACCTCATATCTGTCTGTATAGCTAGCATAAATAGAACAGTTCCCTGGAGATATTTTGTACTGCAGTAACTCTAAGGCCATAAATTTGCAATCTTTACACAATCAACAGCCCCATTGATTTTTACTGATAGTTTAGAGGGATTTATGAAGGCAAGATGAACTACAGAGCAGAAGTATTTTAACACTACTGTCAGTAAATTTGCTTTAGAGAAGTAGAGCATATCCCTGTAGGAGAATATTGTTTACTTTTAATATACTGTAAGTCCAAATTTTCAGGACCTACAACTTTAAAAAGTGCAACTGAATACTTTCTCTAGGGAAAAGAAATATAAATATCAACAGTAGAATTAGACTTTTGTCAAGCATTAACGCTAAGTCCCTCTTTACTCTGGTGAGCCTTGATGTAAAGTAATGCACTTGTTAACTGCTGATCAGATTATACGAGCTCAGAGTTATGCAAATTGTTTCTGAAGTGTGCGCAACCTAAGAGATGGAAAGCATATGATGGAAAAATCACTGAAATGGATACACAGTTCACACTCCGTGCCAGAGAACTGTTGGAAATCTACTGCAGCATTAGTATGAGTGACATCCCACAAGATGAGAGAATAGATGTGCTACTAACACTCAAACGTACAGTGAAGGTATGTCTTGTTTTTCTATTTGTGTTTAACTTGAAGCAGTACTTCCCAAAGATACAATCGTGTTGACACATAAGCAGTACTTCTGGCAGACAGGTGCCAGGATGATCAACTGGCAACATGAAAAAGCCTCCTGTACCATCTGGCATGAGAGTAATTTACATTCCAGATATACCTTAAATTCGTATGTCATTTTGGGATGTGCACATTTTTCTTGAAGTTGTGTTAGAATTTTAATGTGTTTTAGAATTTTTGTATACTGGTACATAATAGAGCTTTAGTGCAGAGTTTAGCTTAACATTTGTAACAGCTTGATGGAAACCATGGCAGAGTTGTAAGTGGCTGTTAGTATTTTCTCAGGGTTCTTTGAAATGTCTGTTTAAAACCTCACCTTTCTGTTTGTTTAGGTTACCAGCTTTATGGGCAGCAAATAGTTTTGGTTTGTTTTGTTTTTTTCCTTTATCCCTTATTCTCCACCCTCATTGCTTCTGCCAGTGTTCCCAGTGAATCAGAAGCTGGTTGCATTTCTTTCAGCCTTTCGTATTTGTTTTAGATATATATTCATTTACAAAAAGAATATTAGGAATTTCAGACTACTTTCAGGATACTCGTTGACTTGTTGATGTCAAGCTAGAAGAGAATGCTCCTTCCTGGTCAAACACTGTTTGCTTTGGTAATACCAGAATTTGATTTAAAGCCCATATAGCACTGCTGGGAGCACTGCTGGTTTATAAACTCCTGCCCATCTTAATACAAATCAATACTGATGTTGGCGGTTTTTTAAACCATCTACTGTGTATATACACTGTGCCTCCTCTCCTATTTCCTGTCCTATCCAAAGGAACCTCTTTTGGGAGAGACTTCTTGGGTTTATGGAGACTGAAAATTTTGCATGTTGTGTGCCTCTGCTTAGCATTTTTTTAATGACTCCAAGTTTACGGTTGCTTACAGCTTTGGCCATATATACAGGCCCCCTTAAAGCAGAATCTGCAAGCATTTTCAGTTTTGTAGTTCTTTATATTAGTTTTCTTGGAGGTTGTTTTCCTAAGACACTAAGGAGTTCTTCTATGAACATGTTCTTGTGTGAACATGGAGCGGTATGAATGATCATTGGCATAGAATCCATAGTTTGCTTTCATATCTGCATTAGAATTATTTGGCTTGCTTCCTTGCTGTTGTGGTTTGTTTTCCATTTTCTTTGTGATTTTTTTTTTTTCCAGGAACATGAATGTAAATTAACACAGGAAATCATGGAATTAATTGACAGGGAAATTGATCTTATGTCAAGAGAGGTGAAAGAATGTAACTTGGAAGGACTAAGGAAAAGAATTTGTACGTTATTTCTTCAGTTTATTAAAATTCCGAAGTTTAACCCTGAAGTTGCTAAGATACTTAAGGTATTATTCCTATTTTGCAGTTTGACATAGTGCCCATTGAACTAAGGATGGTGGAGAAGGGGAATGGAAAGCTTTTTTATTTTACCCTTTGCTGTAAAATTGCTAGAGGAGTTCTTCAAGAAATAAAATGTAGGAAGTACACAGGCTTCACATAAATAAGCTTAAATAGTCATATAGGAAGCATGGGGCATAGATATGGGTGTAAGAACCTGACAGGTGGTTGGTAGCACTGAGAGAGGCCAAGAACTTTATGTATGAAATAAAAATTCTGAGAATTACAAATGGTAGATCTTATGGGATGGTAGCAGGAAAATGTAATAGCAAATGGGGAACAAATAAAGAGAGTGATAATCTTCTTTCCACTGGACAAGGGCAGCATCCCTTCCAGAAAGGAAGAATGTTGCCATTGTCAAAGTTATGTCTAATGAGCTTGCACCTAAGCAAGAGTTGTTATGAGCTTTTGTTGTACAACCAGTTGCTACTTCATGGTAAGAAGATAGCTGGGTAGCGGAGAAAGTGGTAGACGCCTTTCAAGGTGTGTTATTGTTTTTATTTCTGACTGCAGGTTACAGTTAAAAATACGATTCACTACCATAGGTTGCTGCTTTAGGCAGCAAGATGTATTTTGCATCTGTCAGAAGAGTATTCTTCTTACAGTGGGTGATGGTATCTCAGAGGTAAAGTGTCTGTCAGTAAATGTTAATCAGATTTAGAACCAACTAACAGTTATTTTACTCTAGGTTTACACACAGAGTTACCTAAATGTGTCATAGCAGAGACTGGATATGGGGGATCTTTGTCTTCTGTAGCTTTTGGTTGGCTGTACACTGAGTTGAAGTCTGAATTGCATCTTTTCTCTATTTGAATCTTGTAACCTTGTGTGGACCATAAAAGAGATGGGAATTCATCAATTGACAGTCACTAAAGTGACCAAATCCTCAGGTTATTTTCAAAAAAAGGGCAGATGACCTCAATAAGTAGCTGGATAATAAGGCTGCTCAAACTATCCAATTGCAGACTTGGGCCCTCTGCACAGACTGCATTATATTTTTTCCAGACCCCATGAAGCAATATCAGATGAGGAGGTAATTAGCAAGTTTAGGTTATTATTTTCCCTTTGTTGTTTTTGGCTCTGATGACTTTATATTCTTATGCCAAAATGTTAATATTCACATAATCACAGGGATTTATCTTTGACATAAAGGGCAGATTCTATATGAAAAATTAAATATAGAAGGTTTAGTTTCTGTTTTCTCTGTGTTGTTGACTTTCCAGAATGGCTGACAATCAGCTTACACAATAGTCAGCAAGAGCACTGGAGCATAATGTCTAGGATTGTCAATAGCTTAGAAATGAATTGGCTGATTTATATAACTGATTTTAACAAGTACAGTAAGAAAATACAGTAGCTTTCGGTCTTTATTAAAAACAAACAAACCTATTCAGTATGTTTTAATAACTATTTCTAGCTTTCACATCTTCAAATACTTGCATGAATATATGTACAATGTATACTGACAGAGTTAGGGTAACACACAAGTGATACAGAGGTAATCTGTGGTAAATTAACTTCTTTAAAAATCTTTTTAGGTTCCACCAGATCCCTTAAAGCTTTATAAAAACGTGAACTGCTGTCAGACTTGCAAAAATTACTTACCGTCTACTGCGTTTCCTGTTGCTGCTAATACCCACACTACTGGCAGATGTCGTTTGTGTTGCAAGCTTGATAATGAGGCTCGGCACCGAGAAACGTTTTTGAAGTGCAAACTTATACTAGAAAACCTCAGAAAGTCTGAAGCTGATTATCAGGATGATGCTAAAATTGTTTTCTTACTTCAGGTACTGTCTAAAAGAGCATTGCTAATAAAACCAATGGCTCTGACTGTAATTTTTCCTTTATTTTGTGTATGTTGTTGACAGGTTGAGAAATAGATTAAGAGCTACAAAGCTTCTTCCTGTGACAGGGAATGTTGCATGCCGTAAAGAAGCAGCACTTAAGCTTTTGAAGTATAGCTGTAATTTCAAAAGTGATTACAAGCTGTACATCACAAGAAGGTAGAAGTCTAGCTGACAAGGTCAAAGAAGGGGGTGATCCAAATTCTTCTGGTTCTCCCATGGCCATCCTGTTGCTTAAAGATACTACTACCATCTGCAAAGTGATAGTAGTGTTTTTGTGATTATAAAATCCGTCAAGACATAGTGCTAGTAAAACATTTTGAGCCCCATTATTTAGACTAGTTTAGTAATACAAATAAATTGTTGTGTATTCTCAGAAGGAAAAGATAAAGAAGCTGAGAGTTTGACATATCTGTTATATCTCAGTATAATGTCTGTGTAGTTGGAAATTTTACTCTTTTGCATTTATTAGGAGAGGGTTTAGCACTTTGCCAGTGGCAGTTGCCAAGAGGAAAATTGGGATTTTTTTAATTATCATGCCTGTACTAAGAAATATTATCAAAGAACATGGATTTTGTAGATGTTTTTCGTTCATGTTGTTTTCAGTTAGGCTGGGAAGTTTTTTGTCTGTGTCTCATTTAGTTTATTTAATATGTAAACATTCTCCAAATCACTTGTGATGGCTGCTGGCCATTGGTACACTGGAATATAGCTGCTTCTTAACTTCTGACACTGAAAGCCCTCACATGCAGTTCCATTAGTGGTTGTACCACTGCAGCGTCCCTAGATACTGTGTCCTTTTTATCCAAATTAACCTATTTTCTTTAGAGTTGTAAATCTCTAAACAGGTGTTTGTACCTTAAAATCACTAATTTCCTTGGGTCTTTTCCTAAACATTTCCTTATATTTTTTTTTTTTTTAATGAGCTACTTGCTTGTATTCTCCCTTCCTCTCCCAACAGCCATCTGTCCCCTTCTGCACTTATATGCAGAAAACAGCTCTGGGGCATCTAGAAATGACTTGGGCAAAACTAAAAACCTTTTGCATGAGCCATGACAGCTTCATTCATTGCTCAGTAAAGTACCATTACTGGCTGTGGTTGTATTGTGGGTGGATGCAAGAGTTTTCTGATAAGATAAAAGATTTTTCTTGAGATCTCCTGATTTTAATTGTGTTTGGATTGACCACCTATGTGAGCACTGCTGAGGCTTAAAAGGCTAAAAACAGTTGGTGACAGTTACGGTAGCTCCAGTAAGTTTTGGTTACTGCAGCTAAAGACCTTTTTCGTATCAAAATGAACTTGTTCAGCAAATATGTCAAGTCCTGAGACTGCTTTTTATTCTTTCAGAGGATTTAACTATGCCATACTGTTTAGAATTGGTGGCACATGCTATGGCTTTGAGTTATCTTGATGAGCAACATCCTGATGGCAATGTTGTATTCATTTGAAGCTACACATACACCTAACCCCTTTACTGGTTTGCTGCCTACCCTTGTTTCCCAGTCTCACCTGATGAGCATTCAATGATACCTGCTCCCAACCTGTTTGATGGCAGTACTCAAAGGCTGTTTCTGTTTCTTGTGAGCACAGAACAAATTGAGGGAAGGAGCATAATTTAAAATTAATTAACTGTAAAATTTCACGGAAAAATGTATGCCTACCTTTAGGATGTGCAGAAGTTGTCTCTTAAACTCTTCCCTGTAACCTGAGAAGTTTTAACAGAATACAAGCTTTTGCCTATTTTTCAGGTAGAAAAAATAATTGTAATCCAAGAAAGATCAAATTATAGATCTGTTTTACGTGGGCCTTTATATACCTCAGTATAGATTTTTGCAAGTTCAGGTAACTTTTGAGACATGTAGCTTAGTACAGAAATAGTAGTACTTGCTAATATGTCTGCTTGCAAATTTCTGGCTTCTAAGAGGAAGATACAGAAATTGTTTGAAATTTTGTGAAAAGGTGGAAATACTGAAAACAGAAGACAGTTAGTGAAACCTAATAAACGAGGCTCTGTAGGACCACTTTTAAGACTAGATTTAGGACTAGGCCTATATTCTTGAAATCAGATCTATTACCAGTGGAGGTTCTAAGCATCCCTTTTATGTTACATTTTCCTTGGCAAGAATTTTCACTGGCTCCTGGATTCTAGGTGCAAGATGGGTAAGTATACATTAAGCTGCATTTCACTAAAGCACTGTGTTTTTATAGTTTCATTCATCCTTTGTCAGGAATTTCATAAGTAACATGTAAACATCATTATTTAATTAGGTCAAGATTTCTTATTTTAGAGGAATGAGTCTTTAAATGGGTCGCTTGGAGGAAAACCTGTTTTTTACTGACTGTGTAGATAAAACTCTTCTAATGGAGGGTGACAGAAAAACCTGCCAGAGTGGTAATTGCTGTCCCAATTACTATTTCTTTTCTTTCATTCAAGAGGTTGTGTTTATCAAGACTTAGTAGTGATTTCAGATGGCTGGTAATAAATTAAACAAATTAAGACTGATGTAAATTAACCTTAGACCTAGGTTAAAAGTACATTTTAAAGCCTTTCTGTACTGGGAAACCTTTACAAACAGACTTCCTGTAATTTATTGTTAATATTGTATCATAGCAACCTCATCTTTAATCTCATTTGGTAAAATGAGCAACAGTATCATGAGCACAATAAACTCTCCATATGTCAGCAGCAGAGAGGAAGAAGGCAAAGTAGGCAGTGATTTGGAGTCCGTCACAGGTGGAAGTTTTTCTTGTCCTAATTTCCCACATTTTCTAGGACAGATTATTCTGATTATATATAGACTTTAAGTAATTTAGTACTGTAATAACTCATTTATCAAATAGCATTAATTCTTAATCCAAAAATGAAATGGGGAAGTCATCTCAGTAATGGTGGAGATGGATTATTATTATCCAAAAAATTCTGAACAGGCTTAAGCATGCTCAATGAGGAAAAAAAACCAACATGAGATTTAGGAAGCTTTTTGAGAGTGGTTAAGCAATCAGCATGTTAGTGGAAGATATGAATTACCATTGGCAGGAACAATCAAAGTAAGAATGTAGTATTTTAGAGGTGATACAAGAAAAATGCAGTTAATAATTGCCAAACCATGCTAAAGGAAGAGGCGTATGTCTGGATGTTCTTTAACCAAGTAATTATATGAAATACACACTGAAAATTTTTTACTCAAAGTTTTATTTGGATTCTCATATGGTTACAGTGCTTTTGTTGGAGAATGAAACATGCTTCTTCCTTCTGAACCATGTTTTCCATTTCAGCATCAAGATCTGCAATACTTGATTGAGAAAATATGGGGCAGTCAGTCAGCTCTCAGTGCCTGCAGTGACCTCTATGATTTGGTTATGGTCAGGTGGGATAAGCAGCATGAATGGTCTCCATGGAACACTATTCTTCTCACTGAACATGAGGCAGATGCACATCTTAAACTGTGTGACCTTCAGAAGGTAAAATTTGATGAGCTTTTTACAATAGTTATGTTTTAATGGAATTCTGTGACTAATGATAATTTGCCAAATTTAGTCCTTACACTCATCCATGTTTAAATTGACCCACTGTGACTATTTAAATGATTACATTTGTACAATAAGACAGGCACTCATCCAGAGGGCAGCTGACATGTGCAACTCATATCCATGTACCTGAGCTATCTCTTTGTCCTGATTATCCCTCCTGAAATGCAAGAAACTAAGTGACCTCATCCAGGCTGCTTGCTGATTACAGTGCCGTGTCTATGCTCTTTCACCCAGCTGAAATCAGACAAGAACTGGCCTGGATAAAAAACTTAATAAAAACTAACCATAAGTAATACAACAGTTGTGTGCCTGTGCTCTTGCACATGCTCTAGCCTCATTAGTTTTTGGCCTTATAAATTTCTCATCAAATAACAGTATGGCGCTTTGTTTAGAACTTAGTCGTAATAAAATTTGTCTCAATTTACTTTCTTACATAGATGTCATTTAAGTACCCCTGACAATGTAATCTTTTTGCAATTAAGCAGTAAAAACATAATTGCTGTTCTGAGTTAAAAAACTTAAGAATGTGTTAAAGTTGTCATTGGAACTGTTTTTACACCACTCCCTTCAAAGTCCATGTCTAAACATGGTAAACAATTCTGATTATGCACCTATCTGGTTTAACTTCGTAAGTCTGGATGTCATAGTCAAAGAGATGTCATTGACTTAGGTCCAGAGCTTCAGTGGAGGTGGAAGTTAGACCAGAAGAGCAACAGGTGAAGTATGCAAGCCTACCTAAATCATAAGGTATTTTCCCTTAGCTCTTGCTACAAAAAGGGGAGCTAGCTTTCTTCACTGGTAATGGCCAAAGCTTTGTTTCAGCAAAAACTGTGCGTGAAATAAAGAAAATGAGGCAAAGTTAGAATGCTGTAAGTTGAATCATTGTTTCTTATTCACTGAAACAAAAAAAAGAGGCCTTTCAAGCACTTTATTTAATAGCAATTGTTCATAATGATGACTAAAGTTATGGCAAAGGGTTTTTTCAGCTAATTAATCTGTTTATTTATGATATCATCTGAGCTACTACTAATCAGTAGAAATTCAGGAAAATGTCACCACTGAACTTGAAGGCCAATTGAAATGCTGCAAAATGCTGCCATGATTATTTGTAATTAATCACTTGATTTTTATCAAGGAAGTTTCCTGCAGTCATCACCTTGCAAATGTTGATATTGAAGTATTGGCTTTTTTCATTTTCAAAGCCAGGTATGAATGTTCTTACCTGAAAATCAATAAATTTTATCTCGTACAGATAAAAAAATGCCAGAAGTTTTTTTGTTTGTAAAAGTTGACTAATATTACTTAAGGAGTGCTTAGTAATTTTCACTACTGGACCATAAGGTAGCAGTGTAGGACTACAAAGTATTTCATTATGTATCATATGCAAATAAATAATTTGCCTTAGTTCATTAAAGGGTCACTATTTATACTGTCTGAAATATGAAGCAACATGTAGATTGCTAGATATTTTAATTGTATTTAATGGGATTTGGATTTTTTCCTTTCAGGCTTACGAAGCAGCGTTTATTCACAGAATAAGGCATAAGCATATCTGGGCAAAAAACTACTTTGCTCAGATTCAAGCCATGGCATCATTTTTGCAGAGGAGTGAAAATCAGACAAATGCAAATGAATTTTTAATAGCTACGCCTTTTCGTACTGGTGCAAAAACATAACTCTTAGGTGAAGTTAGCTGAAGTTAAAGAAGTTAACTGAATTATTGATTAATACAATTTCCTTGGTTTTAAAGAAATGTACTGTTTCAATACCTTAATTATATCACACAGATCAAAATAAACTTCTGAGGATAAAATAATTTGATCCTGACTAGTCAATAAAACTGTATTTCATGTTTTGTAACCTCATTAGTTAAAAACTAAAATGTTGTTGGGGAGTTTTGTAAATTCTAATTTTTTAGAGCAATTGACTGTCTTTCTGTGTTTGCTTGTGTTGCTTGGAACATTCTGTCTTTGTTGAGGGAACTTAGCTAATTCTTTGTCACCTTTTATCTAGAAAAATAATGCTACAAACTATTAAATTTCTCTCAAGTATAAAAGGTAGAAAATCCTTTAAACCCTGAATTCCTGCAGAATGACAGAACTGATATGGCCTTCCAAATATAGATGCTTTGCCTTATAAAGATTTGGGCAAAATAATAACTTTATAGTTCATCTTGATGGTGAGAGTGGAGATGCCAGCCTGTAATTATTGTATCTGAGATCTTGAAATTAGTGTAAATGAGACTGACAGTTTGAAAGAGACAATGCAGACTGTTTGGAACATGATTATTTTTGGGAAGCTTCTGTTAATTAGAGGTCAATTTATCTAGAAACATAGTTGTGTTTATGTTTGATTACAGTTACAGAGAAAAAGACGATATCGTATACATTGAATAATGTCTTACGGAAAGTTGCATAGTTCTGCTTGAAACCTGTATTCTAGACGTGGTTTTGACCCAGGAAAAAGCCTTTTGCTCTGTCTAGAAAAAAAGCAGTAGCATTTACAAACAGAAGTAAGCATATATTTGGAAACAAGCAGCTGAAAACTGCGTAGACTCACAACAGAATATGCATGAGCTGTAGAACCAATACCTGACTGGTGAGTGCATTCTAACATCAGTGGAGTCTTTCCATTAAATTTAGTATTAAATTCAGATGTAAATGCAGTAGCATTTACAAACAGAAGTAAGCATATATTTGGAAACAAGCAGCTGAAAACTGGGTAGACTCACAACAGAATATGCATGAACTGTAGAACCAATACCTGACTGGTGAGTGCATTCTAACATCAGTGGAGTCTTTCCATTAAATTTAGTATTAAATTCAGATTCTAGACTTTAGTTCTGTACTGAGCTAATTGTAGAACTGCAGGACATGATCATTTCAGTTGACTTATGTGCTCTCCAGGATCTGAGCCTTTAGGTAGGAATGGCTGCTAAAACTGGGCTTCCTCCAAAGTGATAAAAGGGATTTTGAAGAAAATTATTATTTGAATGGCAAGAAGGAAAACACGAATCACATAGATAGTAACCTACCTCTTTAAAAATTTGTTCCCTTTCTTTTTAAATGGCTTTAAAGATATGTACTGATCCCAGAAGAGCGATTTGAATAAAAAGTAAGGCAATAGTACAAACCAATGTGAAAAGTCCATTGATTTCAATGCCATGTAATGTTGGAGATTTTTGGATTTATAGGCTCATTTAGGTTGGAAAGGACCTTTAGTAACATTGAGTCCAAATTTAGACCTAATGATATCTGGCCCACCAGTAAACCATATCTGGAAGTGTCACATCTGCACCTATGGTGGCTCAACCACTTCCCTGGGCAGCATGTTCCAATGCTTGACAACCCTTTTGGTGAAGAAATTTTTCCTAATATCCAGTCTAAACCTCCTCTGGTGCAACTTGAGGCTGTTTCCTCTTGTTCTGTCACTTGTTACTTTGGAGGAGATTTTGATGCCCACCTGTTTGTATCCTCCCTTCAGGTAAGTTGTAGAGAGTGGTAAGGTCCCCCCGAGCCTTCTCTTCTCCAGGCTAAACAGCCCTACTTCCCTCAGCTGCTCCTCAGAAGACTTGTGCTCTAGACCATTCACCAGCTTCACTGCTCTTCTCTGAACACACTCCAGCAGTTCAATGTTTTTCCTATAGTAAGTGGCCCAAAACTGAACACAGGATTCAAGGTGCAGCTTTACCACCGTGGAGTACAGGGGGATGATCACTGCCCTGGCCCTGCTGGCCACACTATTTCTAATACAGGCCAGAATGCTATTGGCCATTTTGGCCTCCAGGGCACAAGCTGGAGGTTTTGGTTTATGTTCAGCCGCTGTCAACCAACATCCCCGGATCCTTTTCTGCCGAGCAGATTTCCAGCCACTCTTCCCCAAACCTGCATGGGGTTGTTATGACGCAAGTGCAGGACCCAGCACTTTGCCTTGTTGAAGAATTGATCTCATCCTCTTGTTACTGAATTTAAAACAAATATTTTTCCCCTTTTTATACATAGCATTTATAATTGTATTATATTTTGAAAAAGCATGAATTTAAAATAGTTACTGTTCTGATTGAAAAGATCAGAGTAGAGTTAAAGATACTGCATTTCTAGAAGTCATTGCATTTTATCAGGAGAAAAAATCCTGTTCAGATAAAGGTTCAGATCTGCCAATTTCTGTTAAAACTAAGTAAGTCTTTAAATGTACACCTGATCACGTTTGCTTGAGTTTCAGAGTTACACACAAGATGGTTTTGGAATCTCTTGGTAAAAAGGCCTCTGCTTTGGAGCCTATTTCTTTCCAGGGTAATGAGGACAAATGGTTGCAAAGTGTCAGTGCCTCTTCAAAGGAGAATAGACTGTAAGGTGAAATTCTAACCTTCTCCCTTCACTTCTGGGAAGTGGCTAATGTGATAGGCTTATGAAGTCTCTCAAATAGTGGTTTAGAAGTTGGGACCATGAGGAATGCATGTGTCTGAAACACTGGTGAAAGTGCTGGGTTTTCCTCAGTTGTTTCCTGGATGTACATACTCACTACCAGGAAAAAGTTATTGGGCCACATGGCTTTATTTCTCTTTCTGCACTAGCAGAGACTCGTGGCCAATTAACACCTGCACTTTAGCTCACAAGACTCTTTTGTGAGCAGGACTCTTTAAGTTTGAAGTAAAAATTGCCATCTGCCCACCTCCAACACCACTGCTAATCCATTTCAGAGGGAAAAGTTCTGGCTTTCCTTCCACATGCAAAAGTGGGTAATACATTCATTAAGCAAAGCAGCACATGCATTTTACCTCTGAACTCCCGAGGGGAAAGTCCATACGTTTTCCAGGATATAAATTTCCCTGTTTGTGTCTTAAAGGAAGAAATGAGAGTAATATGCGTAAATCAAATAAAAATCACGTCTTTGCCCCCAAAAGATGTCCGGATGAGGGAAGTATTAATTGCCTTCTTAGATAATAAAGTGATTATAACAAATAATAAAACAGGATTCTAAATTAAGTATGTGAAGGTAGCAAAGTAGCTGCTGACCAGTTTTTGGTATATGCAAAACACTTTTTCAGAAGGAAATGATACTAACAGTAGTTAAGATTAAAAAAAAAAAATCCAAATTTTGGATTCTTTTAGGTTGTTAATTTTTTGGGGTTTTTTTTGTTTTTTTTTCTTTTTTTTAAAGAACGTAAATTTGAGTATGCCTGTTATCTGAGCTGGAGGAAAAATTTTTTTAGTATACTGCTGTTAGCACCCAAACCCATTGCTCAAGGGTCAAATTTGCATGCCAAATGGATGGCACTTATTTTTGTCACCTATATATAGATGGTTCTTCTGGCTTACCTTGCACTGTAAATTGTCCTTGTTATGATAGTCATCCCCTTTAGCCTGACTTACAGTCTTAAATTTCCATCATCCCACACAAATGTGGCATTCACACTTCTTTTTATTCAAAATTTTTTACATTAGGAATGTGGAATTCTGAAGTTGGGAGGATTTTTTTTTTTTTTCCCTTTGGTTTGTTTTGAAAACGAGGATTCATAAGCAAAAGAAGTTAAGCCTCCATTATCTTGGTCTTTACTCTCCAGTTATTTTTTATGAGTCCTGTATTTCAACTTTGACAGGATAAGAAATACATAGGGTTTGTGATAGGCATACAATTATAAAAGAAAGCATTTTTAATTCCAGAGAAATGAGTAGGAGTAGAATGTAAATACATGTTATGTCAATATTATAGCTTCTTTTAAAATTATTTTAGTTACATGGTAATGGAGATATATTTTTCTTCATTGCAGTTTCATAATGTTTTCACAGTATTCTGAGTTTCAGTTTCTTGAATTTAGAAAGAATCTTCATGTGCCAGCAGTTCTAAACCTGGACTCAAGATCAGCTATGGGTTTTAAAGGGAAAAGCCCTATGGAAAATGCAGCCATAAACTTTTTGTACTTTTGTGTATACCAACAGACACAATCAAGTGATTTAGGTTCCTGCTCACAGATAAGAGAACCACTGTGATCTCATCTCATTTTAATCAAACGAAAGTAAGGAACCTTTTTGAAAAATTTCTCTGTGATATGTATCTTTTTTTCTTATCATTTGGCAAAAAAAAAAGATTTTTAGGATGGAAAAAAATGCAAAAGGAGAAGATGCATGCAGATGCATTTGAGAGCCAAATTTGCAAAGGGAGGCAAATTAACATCCCACTCAATAGGTTCTTCTCATTCCTTTGTTTTCAAAGCTTTCTTCACTTCACTTGTTCCCAGACTGTGGTTTGTGATGAAATATTAAAAAGGAAAATTCAGTTGGTTTTCAGTTAAAAGTTTGATCATAAGTAATATGGTGATCTGAGAGAAAACAATCTGGTTTTGTTTTAAGACTGTTTCCATAAGGCAGAATGCAGAGTATACCCACAAACTGCTCCGTCTCACTTTTATGTAGTTTGGTTAGTCTGTGCAAATGCCCTCCAAAAGATCGAGCTCAAACAGGTGATAATCTAGATTTTGAGATATTACCAACTGGAAAGAGATAGGGACAATATACCTTTATTTCATAATTGTCTCCCTTGTATTAGCTCCTCTTTTGTTTTCATTAACCTACTTTGTCAGCCATTTTGAATGTAAGAAGCCAGGAATCTCTTACATGACTTCGGGTTTTTGTCCAGGGTGTCAGCATTTGAGTACAAACTTATAAAAGAAGTTGCTCACACCAGCAGTGGAAGTTTTGAAATTGCGTAAATGCTTTAGCCTAAGGAAAATGCTCCGTAATAATAGAGTCGAGCACTTGTCACCCATTTAAAAAGTATAAAATTGTCAAATATTTATTAATAAATCATTTGCTCTTG